GCTGCCGTGCGTGGTGCGTGGACTATTTGATTGTGTGGGGAGGTGCATGGAGTGACGAATACTTCTGTTTGGCGTGTCGCGGTGTGTTGGAATGATGGGCGGAAGACATGTGAGGGGTGTTGTTTGTAGTTTGTGTGTCTTCTCTGGTGGAGCCGACATGTGTGCGGGGATTGTGGCATTGCTGGCTGACGGTTCCACGTCACTTTTCAGCATTCCTGGATGTGCTGAGGAATGACGGCTGGCGACCAGCGTGTTGGCACTGCCGGTGGGAATAAGTACACGAGGAATAGACCGTTTTCTCTTTCCCATGCTGGAGCCGATGGACTGGCACGAGGGCACCGGCTGCAGGCGGTCGTGCCAGCACGTGTGAGCAGCGGATCCATGCACACACAGACGCTCATCGCAAGAGCTTGTGTGATCACAGTGGCTTTTGTGGCGTGCTTTTATGGGCGTCAGCCCGTCGGAGAATGTGTGAACCAAACGGCTGACGGAACACGAGGAAAATAAGTGCGTGCACTGTGCCGTGTTTCGGCATCGATGGCAGAGCGGCAGGAGGCCCGTGCTGGCAACTGAGATCTTTGCGTCGCGAGGGATGTCGGTGTTGATTTTGGATTGTCGAGGGTGAAATGAATTTGCTGCTGCCCGTGTGTGTGGCCACTCCGGCAGAGGGCGAACACAAAAGGGAGGGATGCAGGCGCTGCGTGTGTGTGCAGGTGCCATGCAACAACGTCACAACAAACATGCTGCGACTCGGTGACCCTCACATCGCTGTGGTCCTGACGAGCAGCCCAGGCACGGCCCGCATCGATGCACTTAGTGGACGGAGTGAGGCATCTTTTGAGGTGCTGCAGGGAGCAGGATGTGTTGACGCAGCCACGACGTGCATGGAGTGTCACGATGGCACAGCCGGCTGTGGCTGGTGGAATAATTACTTCTCGGAGGCAACAGAGAGAGAGAGAGCTGCTCCTGCTGGCGTCGTTGCTGCCTTTTGTGGCCTCCCATGCCGATTATTGTCTGTCCGCTGATCATGGGTGGTGTGCCTCCACTAGTGACGTCGTCTGCAGGCATTTCACAGCACCAATGAAACACACATCACGTCGCATGCTTTGGCTGTGGGTATGGTGTCGTGCATGCAGCCGGCATTATTTTGCCCGACTCCTTTTCACTACCTTGCGACAAATAGATGCGTCGCCGCCCGAGTCATTCGCTGCAGCTCCGTGTGTTGTACTGCCGGCACAATACTCTCGTGTTGTCTGACGCCTGGCTGACAGTCAAGCACCACTGCGTTGGGGCATGCAAGGATGTGGACTGCCGCTCACGGTGTTGGGCACCGCTGTTTGGATGCGGCGGCCACACGAGCGGATGTATTGTGGCAAAATGAAATGCGTGAAATACGCGGAATCACAGCGGCTGCAATAATATCAACGGTGTGGCACCACGGAATATGTGAGGGGGTGATGCATGATGAACCACAGTGGGCGGCATGCGAGGGAAGTGCACCGCGACGGAGCGTCACCCCGCCCTCAGCCTGCAGGGGAATGTACGCCCACAAGAATATATGGACGAGGCACCACCAAACACACATGCCCTTCTGTGCACCAATAAATAAGAGCGAAAGTGCGTTCTGGTGCGTGGGAG